TTGTAAAGCAGGCCTGGTGGTGACAAAATCTCTGAGTACTTGCTTGTTTGCAAAGGATTTTATTTTTCCTTCAGTTATGAAGCTCAGTTTGGCTGGATATGAAATTCTGGGTTGAAAGTTTTTTTCTTTAAGGATGTTGAATATTGGCCCCCACTCTCTTCTGGCTTTTAGAGTTTCTGCTGAGAGATCTGCTGTGAGTCTGATGGGCTTCCCTTTGTGGGTGACCCAACCTTTCTCTGTGGCTGCCCTTAGTATTTTCTCCTTTATTTAAACCCTGGTGAATCTGACGTGTATGTGCCTTGGGGTTGCTTTCTTGCGGAATATCTTTGTGGTGTTCTCTGTATTTCCTGCATTTGAGTGTTGGCCTGTCTTGCTAGGTTGGGGACGTTTTCCTGGATAATATCCTAAAGAGTATTTTCCAGCTTGGATTCATTTTTTTCGTCACATTCTGGTACACCTATCAAACATAGGTTAGGTCTCTTGACATAGTCACACATTTCTTGGAGACTTTGTTCATTCCTTTTTGCGCTTTTTTCTCTAATCTTGTTTTCTCATTTTATTTCATTGAGTTGATCTTCAAATTCTGATATTCTTTCTTCTGCTTGGTCAATTCGGCTGTTGAAACTTGTGCACCCTTCACGAAGTTCTCGTATTATGTTTTTCAGCTCCTTCAATTCATTCATATTCCTCTCTAAGTTATCCATTCTTGTTATCATTTCCTCGAATCTTTTTTCAAGGTTCTTAGTTTCTTTACATTGATTTAAAACATGTTCTTTTAGCTCACAAAAGTTTCTCATTATCCACCTTCTGAAGTCTAATTCCGTCATTTCGTCACAGTCATTCTCCGTCCAGCTTTGTTCCCTTGCTGGTGAGGAGTTTTGGTCCTTTCTAGGAGGTGAGGTGTTCTGGTTTCAGGTGTTTTTCTTGTTTTTGTGCTGGTTTCTTCCCATCTTTGTGGATTTATCCACCTGTCATCTGCGTAGTTGCTGACTTTTCGATTGGGTCTCTGAGTGGACGCCCAGATTGTTGATGATGAAGTATTTCTGTTACTTGGTTTTCCTTCTACCAGTCTAGCCCCTCCACTGTACGACTGTTGAGGTCCACTCCAGGCCCTGCTTGTCTGGGGTACACCTATAGTGGCTGCGGAACAGTGAGGGATGCTACCAGTTTCTTTTTCTGCTATCTTTGTCCCAGAATGATGCCTGCCAAATGTCAGTCTTCTGGATATAGAGGGGTCAGGGAGCTGCTTGAGGAGACAGTCTGTACTTTATAGGAGCTCAAGTGCTGAGCTGTGAACTCTGTTGTTCATTCTGGGCTGTTAGGCTGCTACATTTAATTCTGCTGCAGCAGAACTCATTAAAAAAAACCCCTTTTTTTCTCAGATGCTCTGTCTCGGGGGTTGGGGCTTTCTTTATGAGTGTCCATTGTGCTGTCCTGCCCAGCTAGGAGGCAGTCTAGGCACTATTTGCCTGCCGAGGATCCGCCCTGCTGTTGTGAGGTCTGCCCTTTTGCTGCAGTCTCTGCCCTGCTGCTGCTGTCTCCGCCCTGCTGCCACGGGCTATGCCCTGTGGTGGGGTCTCTCTGTTGTGGCAGGTTGCCTTGGCAACGGCAGGCTGCGTCAGCAATGTCTGTGTACCTCAATTGGGCGGATTGCCTCAGTAATGGTGGACGCCCCTCCCCCACCGAGCTGTACTGTCCTGGGTTCAGCTGTGCCCTAAGAGAACCTCTCCACTGGGACTATTTGGGATCGCCATTTTGTTTGTCCCACTGCGCTGGCCCAGAAGCCGTTTCCCTGGAATCTCCTGGCCTGGCTCACTGTCCAAGTCCCGTTTAATCAGATGGATATGCCAATCTGCCCTCTCAAGTCTCAGATTGCCAGTTCAACAGGGCACCTGGACCCATGCGCTTTGTGCGGAGTGCTGTGGAGCGCCACTGCGCTGTTGCGCCGGCCGCCGGCTGCGCCAGCCAAAACCTCTTCGCTGGCATCCCACGTCTCTTTTATACCTGGGAATTTTCCCGTTCTGTGGGCAACAAAGATCTGTCTGGAAATGCGGCCCTGACTCACCCTCCACGCATTCACTGAGAGCTTCAATCCTGGGTTGTTCTCACTGCGCCATCTTGAGTCCCACCGCCCATATTTGACTTTCTGCCTTTACCCTTTGATTGAAGCATCACCCTTTGGTTGATGCTTAGTGATGTTCTAAGCATCACTTAAGACAAGCATCACTATGTCCTAACTGGTGCAATACAGATCATTTTTGGCAGACCTCCTGTATTGATTTATTATTTTATAAGTTTTCAATGTATTTAAAATTTAGATTTTGTTACTCTCCGGAGGTATCTGGTAAGGAATAGGGTATGAATTATAAGTTCACCAAAGTACTTAGTGTAACATTCAGTGGCTTCTGCAAAGTGTCTCCCTTGTAGTTACCATGAGTGGTCATTCAGTCACTCAACAGTTTTCATTCGGATTAACTGCTTCTCCTGGCTTTACATGTTAATTTCTTCAAAGGTATTTGAATTGGCGCAGGCTCAGTGTTGAAATACCTCTGGAAAGTGAGCTGGTAATTTCCCAGGTTGTCCAGCAGGCACGTTCCCCTACTTTTCCACCATTAAAAGTAAGAATTGGGCATGTATGCCATAGTTCACTGGGTGGCCTGGACGCATTCTTAGGTAGCTCAGCATAAATTTGACTTTGCAGGGAGTGAAACTGATGTTAGCACCATCTCATGTTTACCACCTTTGGCTTCTTGGAGAAAAGCTGCATGGCAGAACTATTCACGTGAAATTAGTGAAAATAATTTCAGTTCCACCCCCTTCACAAATACCTTGTCATGGTACTGTTTAGTGTTTTTGCTGGTACCTTATGTAGGTCACAAACTGACGGTCAAGTTAATTGTGATAATGTTGCAATAATAACTACTAATGTTTAGTAGGTAACTATAATTTGTCAAATGCTATGCTAAGTACTGTAAATATTCCTTCAGTTAGTCCTTAGAATGTTACTATCTCCATTTTCTTTTCTTTCTTTCTTTTTTTTTTTTTGAGAGGAGTCTCACTCTATTGCCCAGGCTGGAGTGCAGTGGGACAATCTCAGCTTAACTGTAACCTCTGCCTTCTGGGTTCAAGCAATTCTCCTGCATCAACCTCCTGAGTAGCTGGGATCACAGGTGCCTGCCAACATGCCAGGCTAATTTTTGTATTTTTAGTAGAGATGGGGTTTCACCATTTTGGGCAGGCTGGTCTCAAACTCCTGACCTCAAGTGATCCACCTGCCTCAGCCTCCCAAAGTATTGGGATTACAGGCGTGAGCCACTGCGCCCAACCAGAATTTCTCCTTTTTCCATTTGCAGAAATTGAGTGCTGCAGTCAGCACACAAGATTCACATTTAGGGCTGGGGATCCCCAAGACCATTACTTTGCTGTGCTTGCTTCCAATCAATATCAGTAGTTTCCCTTATACAACCATGGCAGTGCATTAACAGCTTCCCACCTCTTTCTAAGGCATTACTGATATGGCATATACATTGAGAAGCTGGTCCCACAGCTGCACACCTGGGTTCTCCCTTGCCTCAACTTGGCTCCTGACATTGACCTTCTTGTGCTGGTGGATGGGTCCCTAAGTAAGCTGTCAGCTCCCTGATGGAGGAAGGAGGGGAGGGGATTGTACTATCACCTCTCCAGTGCTTTACAAGTTCTCCCATACACATCCTGTTAGCTTAATCAATTGGCTGAAGAAATTAGTCTCCTGATCCTAACTGGCAAAGACCCCTTGTTCCTTCTCGGTTCTGAAGTAGTTTTCAGGGGAAGAGGCAGTGTCTTGCTGGCATTTAGGAGATATCTGATTTCTTAGGGGATCCACAGGGCCTTTTTAGCTGCTCCTGTTTGGAAATAAGTGCTCCCAGGCTCAGTGCCTACAGGCAGTCTGTCTTTTTAAGGATCCTGTTTACCAAGGTACTGAGGCAATTTACTTAAAGTTGCTCAAAGCCCTGTTCTATCAAATATAAATGTCTCCTACTGAGCCTTTTTGGTTTGCATTTTGCCCAAGGCCTCTTTCCTCTGCTTTCATTCTTAGTCCACAGAGAGCCAGAGAGGATGTTAAAGATCCACTCCATTAATTCATAACCAATTAGGAAGCTTTGTTTTCAATTTGACTGGGAGGTAGCTTTGGCAGAAATCGGGAGCCCTCCCTGCCTTGCACTCCAGGGAATAAAAGACTTCTTTCAATTGGTTAGAAAACAGAATTTTGAAACTAATGGTAAAAACATTTCCCAATTTGGTCACAGCTGTTTACAATGGTGCACACACTTTGCTTTATTATCAGAGTAAATGTTTGCTTTCTCTCATGTGGCTTTGGGCTAAGCTCTCATGTCTTTAAAAGTTTTCTCCATGTCTAACTCTTTGCTTTAATCTTCACATGGAAGCTGATCTGGAGTATACAACCAAAAAGCAAGTTAATTTTCTTCTTCTTTTTTTGGTGATGGCGAAGTGACTTTCTCCAAGTTTGAATTTCTATCTGATGATTGTTTTTCTTTGCTTAGAATGCCATCTCTGCTTCACCCTGAATTATGTGATAAGAAGCTATTCTGACAGTGAATTGTGACTGAAAGTTTGCTTAGGTAGGAAGCCCCCGTTGCAGAGCACTGAGAAAATGCGTTTGACTTCTAGCAGAATGGAAACTAGCTTGGCTGAGGGCTACATTAAAAAAAATCTCTTAAACACAGCAAAAGTTTTGTTCTGAGGGGAAATTAGAGCTCTGAGATTGTGCAACAAGAGATGTGCTTATTCATTGCTTTTTGATACAGGAAAATGTGAACTTGCATGTCTTTGGACTCTACCTTTCTAATGATGTGCTCCATAGCTTCCAAAAGGTTCTTTTATATAGTGTCATTTCAGTTTGATTTTGTGGCCTGAAGGTTGAAATGTGTGCTTAAAAACAGAACAAAATAAAACAAAATGAATGAAACATCCCCGTCACTTTCTGGGTTGGATTCTTTTACCTGGTTCAATGTTGAGAGAGTAGCTGTCTATTTCCAGATCGAGCTGTTGGGCAGCAGCAGAACGAAAATCCTCTAAGACCCCATGCACGGCCTTGGTGAGGTTATACGGCACCGACTTAGCAAACTTCATTTTGCTATTCACAATCACACTCCCATTTCTGAAGTTAAGTATTTCAAGTTGCTTAAATCCTGTAAGATTGGATCGTAGATATGGAACCAGCTGCAAAATAAAAGATGGTTTACTCTTAACTGCGTTCTAAGTGCTCAGCTGGTGCTAATTCCGCTCATACGCACTTTTCATTAACTGAGGCATATATTTTAGTTCCTTTTTTATTGTTTTGATTTTTGTTTTTGGATTTAATGTGAGACCAGAACACCACTACTTACTGGTTGATTTGCAGTGATTATGTTCCATATTTCCACCTTTCTATCTGTGTATTGAGATGGATGGACTCTAATTTTTTTTTCATGGTGAATTGCGAGAACAGATGATTTTTAAATACCTGAGCCAATGCTATTGGCAAAGCAGGAATGCCAAGTTCAGTTATTAAAAAAAATCCAAGTAAATAAAAACATGTTCCAAACTGAGCTCAGGAGCAGAAATCTGGAGCCCTCCCTGCTTTGCACTCCAGGGAATAAAAGACTTCTTTCAATTGGTTAGAAAACAGAATTTTGAAACTAATGATAATAGACCTGTGTCTATGTAAATGGGACATCTATTTGGATGCATCCAATTTGAAATGACCTATTAAAATAAACAGCATGTCTCTCTATGCAGTAAATATTTCCCGGCCAACACAAGTGTGGTGCAGTGGAAACAGCAGAAAACTGGCAGTCAGGAGACTTGGGTGCCAATCCTAGAACTGTTCCTAACTAGCTGTGTGACCTTCATCAAGTCTTGTAACCACTGTGTTGCACCTCAGTGCCCTTATCTGAATTGTGAGGAAGAACAAAAAGTGGTTCCCTAGTGAGCCCTTTCCAAACTATAATAATCTCAAAAGGGCCAGGTGCGGTGGCTCACACCTGTAATCCCAGCACTTTGGGAGGCTGAGAGAGGCAGGAGTTTGAGACCAGCCTGACCAACATGATGAAATCCCGTCTCTACTAAAAATAAAAAAATTAGCTGGGCATGGTGGTGTGTGCTTGTAATCCCAGCTACTCAGGAGGCTGAGGCAGGAGAATCGCTTGAGCTTGGGAAGTGAAGGTTGCAGTGAGCTGAGATTGTACCACTGCACTCCAGCCTGGGTAACAGAGCAAGACATCTTGAAGCAAAAAACATAAAAACAACAAAACAAAACAAAATCTCAAAAGTATGCCCCATGACGTTGTGTTTCAGGTTCCCACATCTTCCTCCTGTGAGCAACAGCCATCCTAAAGATAATTTTTCAGAAATGTTTGAAACAGTGATGTCTGCCTTGTCCTTGGCCCTGAAAGTGAGCCTCCTCATTCATCAATTGTACTTCTATTAACCCAGAAAGCACAGAGATGCAAGTGTCAGTCTCCTAGGCATGACCCAGACCTGCTCTTTATTTGCTCTTATCTCCACCCCACCACAATTTTGACTCTGACCCAGCCCCACATTCTGGTACTCCCCTCACAGGTTATTGTGAGAGTAAAAGAAAATTTTATACAAAGCATAGAGCTTCCCTTTTCAAGCTACTGTCCCCTGATTTCTCCTACTTACTTTGAGTAGCCTCATTCTTGGTGTCTTAGCATTGCTTTGACCTGGGGTAGAAGTTTCCTGTCTTCACCTAGTGTGCAGATAGCTGGGGGCTCTTCTCCCAAATCCATTCTCCTCTTTTTCATAGGAAAGAGGCTACTGATCTAGACAGCACATTTTCCAGCCTCCCTTGTGGGAGGCTGACTAGTTCCCACTAATAGGATGTGGGCAACTTTGGTGTGTTCTACTTAAGAGGAAATTGCTTTCCGTCAGCTTCCTCTCTGTTTCTCACAAGTGGAAACAGGGATGCACCTATGACCCAGCTTTGACCATGTGAACGAGGAAACACCCATGGGGTTGGCAGAGCTATAAGATGGAAGAAGTGTGGGTCCCTGAATGACATCATAGAGCACAGCTCTCCCACCCATCAAGTGAAAGAGAAATAAACTTGTATTAAATGAAAGTCACTATATTCTTATATCTTCATTATGTCAGCTTAGCATGAGCCCTAATTAATATACCATGGTTACTTTGTCAGAAGTGTGTGAACTGGAGCAACTCCATCTTGAATAGGAGCTGGGTAAAATGAGGCTGAAACTTACTGGGCTGCATTCCCAGGCAGCTAAGGCATTCTTAGTCACAGGATAAGACAGGAGGTCAGCACAAAATACAGGTCATAAAGACCTTGCTGATAAACCAGATTGCAGTAAAGAAGCCAGCTAAAACCCACCAAAACCAGGATGGCCATGAGAGTGACCTCTGGTTGTCTCCACGACTGCACTCCCATCAGCGCCATGACGGTTTACAAATGCCATGGCAACGTCAGGAAGTTACCCAATATGATCTAAAAAAGGGAGGCATGAATAATCTACACTTTGTTTAGCATATCATCAAGAAATAACCATAAAAATAGGCAAAGAAATCTGTCTGTGGAGTAGCCATTCTTTTATTCCTTTGCTTTCTTAATAAACTTGCTTTCACTTTGCACTGTGGACTTGCCCTGAATTATTTCTTGCACGAGATCCAAGAACCCTCTCTTGGGGTCTGGATCAGGATCCCTTTTCCATAACAGGTTCCCTTGGACTCTGTTCCCTGAGACTCTCCCAATATCTTCTCACCTCATTATAAATGGTGTGTGTGGGGAGATGGCACAGATAAAGTCGTACTTTAAAGCAAATGTTCACTTGCGAAATTGGGTTTCATGTGGATTTTAATTTGTATAATGATTTAACTTATATGAAGCATACAATTTTTTAAATTATTGTCAGACATTCTGTAATCTGTGTAATATGCATTGTACAATGTATTTTAATTAGCCATGAATATGTAGTGAGTGGTATTACACAGTTCAGCATTTCTTATTGTACATGTAGAAACAAAATAAACATGTGAGTTTGGGGGCATTTTATTATCAAAGACATATGTCATAATAACTTTCTTTGTTAGGGACCAGGAATGATAAGCCATTTAGTCATTTTTTAGGTTTATAAGAACTTAAGGGGAACTAAGAAAGGAACCCTTACTCCTGAACTCCCAGCCTCATCTGTGCTGGACCATTCTAGCTTTGTCCCTTTCGTGAGATTGATACAATTTAGGAAGTGTTCACTCTTGCTACTTGTAGATTCCATGTCCAGTGCTTGAGTGTTTTGTATTATTCCTGGATTAACTAAGTTAAGAAGAATTCTGAGGAAAAGAGTTTAAGAATAAATTTGTTCCCACCAGGTTGGGTGGCGGTGTTTTCCCTTTGTTCACCACAGAACTCACTTCTCCGATTGGATCTGAATCCATCTCAAAATTCTAGTTGAATGTCTTCAGCAACAGTTGTCTCAGCGTTTGTTTCTACTAATCCTTATTGCTCAAGACAGCCAATGACTATATTACAAAATAACAACAACAAAGAAAGGAGAGACAAAGAATTGAGAATTGTAAGCAGTGCTTACTCACCAGCTGTGTGAATTGTTGCTCCAGAGCTCTGTACTCCAGAGAGCTCTTGTTGAACAGGTCGTTGGAGAAGGCCATGTTAGCAACTCGCAGACTGAAGAACACTACCAGCTCTCGGCCCTTGGGGGCAATAGTCATAGAACTAGTGGTGATATACTGTAAAGCTGAGACAGGAGTGGTATCCTCCAAGAAATGATCTGAGGTAGAAACATATTCACTGAGTTCTGGTACCTCAGATGGGGCAGGAGTGTCAGACAGATCCATTTCATCTAGGTCTCTGACCATATCTTCACCACCTGTACTTGACCTGCTGTCATCTGGAGATGCAGGTGGATGTGAAATTCCCAGAGCCAGGTGGCTGATTGGAGAATAATCACTGGTGGCTATGATGAGCCCTGGTACGAGCATTGTCTGGTCAATGGCCATTATATCTGTAGTGCCTTGATCAGTTAGAGAGAAGATGCCTGATGCCGTAAAGAAAGGTGGAGTTTCTGATAAAGAGGCAGACGCCATAGCAGGTGGAGACCAAGAAGTATCTGTGCAGGAAGTACAATTTCATTATTGAGATCAATTTCACTATGTCCAAGTATTCCCCAAAGAATAGAAAATGAAAAAAGAAAATCCAGAGTTAAGCTTAAGAAAATACATAGCATTGGCAAAAATCATTTCAATAAGTCACTTTTTTTTAAGGAAGAGAAACTAGAACAGAAAGGCTGGAAACCCTATGTCCCAACCTAAGGAGACAAAGAGTGGATCCTTGTACCCATTTTATTCAGGCCCAATAGTTCTTGATGTATGAGACTAAAAGAGCACCAGTTACCTAGAATTTCTGGAATTACTGCCTAGCCAGATACAATACACCTGGGAACTGAAGAGTACAAACTAAGTCACCAGTCGGTGCCAAATTGCAGCTGGCATTGGAACAGATTTATAGCCCTCATCCCCATTTGGAACTCTGAGACAGCTAGGTGTGCAGTTTTGGCACACAAATTTTATTCACTTTCCAGTAATGCAAGTCTGCATTTTATGCAATTTGATTTTTTTTTTGGTTATAATAATGATGTTTTGGTACTTTTAGCACTTAAAATTTAAATTATGCTTTTCCAAAATTGGGTAATCTAACTGACTTGCTTGTCAACTTGCAAAATGGTACTAAGAATATAAAGGTATGGGTGAACATATATAATTTGAATGTTATGTTGACCATACAACTTGCTAAATATTTATTAATATTTATAAAACCTTTCAATTAGGTGGGTGTGGTAGTGGACGTCTGTAATTTTAGCTACTCAGGTGACAGAGGCCCGAGAACTTGGGAGGCAGAGGTTGCAGCAAGCCAAGATCATGCCACTGCATTCCAGCCTGGGCAACAGAGCAAGACTCTGTCTCTAAACAATAATGCTAATACTAATACTACTAATAATAAAATAAAAAAACCTTTGCCATGGTTACATTATTATACTCTGACAATTTCTCCTACTACTTTGCATTGCTATCTTGGGTAAATACACATTGACTACTAAAGTCTACCCGTTTTTGGTACAAAATTAAAATCAGTAAGTATTTCTAAACTAAGAAAGTAGTGGCAACTTTCAGATAAACAGATTGGTGAATTATTAAAACATTCCAATAAACCTAAATCCAGAGCCGCTGATGATATTTACGGCATTAAGTGAACAAAACAGGAAGCTTTTTGTGTTTTTTTCAGTGGCCTTTTGGTGAATATCTGGGAAAGCTCTGTTGAAATCCAAATGCTAAGCATGATAAATGGACTGTCTGGATGCAGATATAATCTTTGGACTCGCAGTCAGCTAATTTGCTACACTGAAATTACCAAAACTGAAACTCCAAGTGATAAACAACTCTGAAAGTTGGAATCATATTAGTTTTATTACTTTCTTAAAATAAAACCTGTCTGTTGGTGAGTTATGCCAGGTATCAGAGAAGCATCCTTTGTCCTCTCACCTGAAGAGGATACCTACGTGTGTCTACTCATAATTCACTCAATTGTGAGGAATAATATTTCCCAATATCTCAGATCTCTCTGGAGATACACTTGAAGTTTTATTAAAATTTCCATTGCTGTGGGTCGAATGTTTATGTCCATGCAAAACTCGTATGTTTGGGCTCTAATCCCCAATGTGGTGATATTTGGACATGGGTCTTTGGGAGGTAATTAGGTCATGAGGGTGGAGTCCTCATGAATAAAATCAGTGCTTTTGTAAGAAGAGATCATCATCAAGAGTGATGATCTTTCTTTCTGCCATGGGAGGATATAGCAAGAAGGCAACAAACTCCAAACCAGGAGGAGAGCCCTTGTCAGTAATAGCACCTTCATCTTGCATTTCCTAGCCAGGAGAACTGTGAGAAATCAGTTTCTGTTGTTTAAGACAACCAGTCTATGATATTTCATTATGGCAGTCTGAGTTGTCTAAGACATCCATGGACAGATGTAGGATGATAAATTGAAAGGCCTCAAGTGCTATCTGTGGTTTGATTTGACTTTTTTTGTGCCATGGGAAATGCATTTGATACTGTGCTCCTATGACGTGATCTCTGCCTCTGCAGGTGATAAGATTTGGCAAGAAGCACAGTGATAGATGGCTTCATTTTGCTCCTTTGCCAGCATTTTATTACTCACACCTTTCTTACTACATAGACTTTAACCTGCTTAAAATAGGCTGCTGCATTATGTCATCAATCAACAAAAATTCTGACCATTTCCCTTTGTGACTTTTTTTTTTAATACTCTAAGTACTGGGATACATGTGCAGAACGTTCAGGTTTGTTACATAGGTATACACATGCCATGGTGATTTGCTGCGCCCATCAACTGGTCATCTATATTAGGCATTTCTCCTAATGCCATCCCTCCCCTAGCCACTCAACCCCACAACAGGCCTTGGTGTGTGATGTTTCCCTCCATGTGTCCATGTGTTCTCATTGTTCAATATGCACTTATGAGTGAGAACATGTGGTGTTTGGTTTTCTGTTTCTGTTAGTTTGCTGAGAATGATAGTTTCCAGCTTCATCCATGTCCTTGCAAAGGACATGAACTTATCCTTTTTTATGGCTGCATAGTATTCCATGGTATATGTGTGCCACCTTTTCTTTATCCAGTCTATCACTGATGGACATTTGGGTTGGTTCCAAGTCTTTGCTATTGTTAATAGTGCTGCAATAAACATACATGTTCATGTCTCTTTATAGTAGAATGATTTATAATCCTTTGGGTATATACCCAGTAATAAGATTGCTGGGTCAAATGGTATTTCTGGTTCTAGATCCTTGAGGAATTGCCACACTGTCTTCCTCAATGGTTGAACTAATTTACACTTCCGCCAACAGTGTAAAAGCATTCCTATTTCTCCACATCCTCTCCAGCACCTGTTTTTTCCTCACTTTTTAATGATCGCCAATCTAACTGGTGTGAAATGGTATCTCAATGTGGTTTTGATTTCCATTTCTCTAATGACCAGTGATGATGAGCTTTTTTTCATATGTTTGTTGGCCACATAAATGTCTTCTTTTGAGAAGTGTTTATTCATATCCTTCGCCTATTTTTTGATGGGGTTGTTTTTTTCTTGTAAATTTGTTTAAGTTCCTTGTAGATTCTGTATATTAGCCCTTTGTCAGATGGATAGATAACAAATGTTTTCTCCCATTCTGTAGGTTGCCTATTCACTCTGATTATAGTTTATTTTGCTGTGCAGAGGCTCTTTGCTTTAATTAGATACCATTTGTCAATTTTGGCTTTTGTTGCCATTGCATTTGGTGTTTTAGTGAGTAAGTCTTTGCCCATCCTGCCTATGGCCTGCCTAGGTTTTCTTCTAGAGTTTTTATGGCTTTAGGTCTTACATTTAAGTCCTTAATCCATCTTGAGTTTTTTTGTTTAAGGTGTAAGGAAGGGGTCACGTTTCAGTTTTCTGCATATGGCTAGCCACTTTCCCAACACCACTTATTAAATAGAGAATCGTTCCCCCATTGCTTTTTTCGGTCAGGTTTGTCAAAGATCAGATGGTTGTAGATGTGTGGTGTTATTTCTGAAAACTCTGTTCTGTTCAGTTGGTCTATATATCTGTTTTGGTACCATTACCATGATGCTTTGGTTACTATAGCCTTGTAGTATAGTTTGAAGTCAGGTAGGATGATGGCTCCACCTTTTTTTTTTTTTTTTTTTTTTTTAGGATTGTCTTTGCTATATGGGCTCTTTTTTGGTTCCATATAAGATTTTAAAAAGTTTTTTCTAAATCTGTGAAGAAAGTCAATGGTAGCTTGATGGGGATAGAATTGAATCTGTAAGTTACTTTGGGCAGAATAGCCATTTTTATGATATTGATTCTTCTTAACCATGAGCGTGGAATGTTTTTCCATTTGTTTTTTTTATGGCTTATTTTATTTTATTTTATTCTGATATGGGTTATTTTATTTTATTTTCTATTTTTATTTTTTAATTGCATTTTAGGTTTTGGGGTACATGTGTAGAACATGCAAGATAGTTGCATAGGTACACACGTGGCAGTGTGATTTGCTGCCTTCCTCCCCTTCACTTATATCTGGCATTTCTCCCCATGCTATCCCTCCCCAGCTCCTCCCCCCACTGTCCCCCCATTCCCCCCAATAGACCCAAGTGTGTAGTGCTCCCCTCCCTGTGTCCATGTGCTCTCATTGTTCATCACCTGCCTATAAGTGAGAATATGTGGTATTTCATTTTCTGTTCTTGTGTCAGTTTGCTGAGAATGATGTTCTCCAGATTCATCCATGTCCCTACAAAGGACACGAACTCATCCTTTTTGATTGCTGCATAATATTCCGTGGTGTATACGTGCCACATTTTCCCAGTCCAGTCTATAATTGATGGGCATTTGGGTTGGTTCCAGGTCTTTGCTATTGTAAACAGTGCTGCAGTGAACATACGTGTGCATGTGTCCTTATAGTAGAACGATTTGTAGTCCTCTGGATATATACCCAGTAATGGGATTGCTGGGTCAAATGGAATTTCTATTTCTAGGTCCTTGAGGAATCGCTACACTGTCTTCCACAATGGTTGAACTAATTTACACTCCCACCAGCAGTGTAAAAGTGTTCCTATTTCTCCACATCCTCTCCAGCATCTGTTGTCTCCAGATTTTTTAATGACCGCCATTCTAACTGGCGTGAGATGGTATCTCAATGTGGTTTTGATTTGCATCTCTCTAATGACCAGTGATGATGAGCATTTATTCATGTTTGTTGGCCTCATGTATGACTTCTTTTGTAAAGTGTCTGTTCATATCCTTTGCCCATTTTTGAATGGGCTTGTTTTTTTTTCTTGTAAATCTGAGTTCTTTGTAAATTCTGGATATCAGCCCTTTGTCACAGGTGGGTCAACTGCAAAAATTTCTTCCCATTCTGTTGGTTGCCAATTCACTCTAATGACTGTTTCTTCTGCCGTGCAGAAGCTGTGGAGTTTGATGAGGCCCCATTTGTCTATTTTGGCTTTTGTTGCCAGTGCTTTTGGTGTTTTGGTCATGAAGTCCTTGGCTACTCCTATGTC